TATTTCATCGAGTACAATTTGTTACTGTAAATGGTTGTAGTTCTATAAATAATAGCTGTATTGACTATGACCTATATAAAATTACTCATTTCACTCGGATACAAAACAATAAGTCACATAACAGAAACTCGTATAGTGTTTAATAGTACATAGTAATATTGACCACTGGGGAACTGAAATAATTACCTTTACTTTGATTCTGTACGTCTGATAGGAACCTACTATAGATAGTAGGTACCATTGATTTTATAATATACAGATAAGACTATGCATAAAAGTTTTCAGCGTCGAAAATATTCTGCCAAGTACTGGGTTTGCTGTATCTATTTTTTATATTGTGCTTAATGCAACATATACAGCAAACTTAACGACTGACAGCATAGTTTTAGTCACTGAAAACTACGATGCGATATTTTAATGTATAAATAATGTATGTACATTCATACACGTATAAAGTCAGTACGTATTAATATCAATTATAAGTAAAATTTTAAAAAAGTCGGTTTTATATCTATATTTCCGCTTTTAATTGGTTACAACGAATGCTCGTTCTAACAGCATATAATGATCTACCGATTATAACGAGAAAAACTAACTGGCCCTTGAAATTTGTTATAAGTTATAACTTATAATCGATTTCTAATGTATTATAAATTATTATTWTTATGAGAAAAARAATCAACGTTTTGATTATGATTAATTAGATATTTATTTAGACTGTGTCAAATTAACTTTCACTGTTGAAATCAATCAAATTTAATCAAAATTGMACGATAAGAATATTATTTCTACAAATTAAGTTAAAACCATTGACTAATGTAGATAATTATCAATATGTGGAATTTACAATGATAAATAACAGTATAGTGCGTGTAATAGAGCTGAATCTGACTTTGAATCACTCAGAATTTGCTATCGAACTGAATTCACGCACTGGTAGACACATTTCAACGTTAATATCTTAATATTATTATAATAGGTACTTATACCTACTACGAAATCGATAGATATAGTCTTTCGATTTATTGTGGCCTGTAAGTACATAATATATTTTATGTACAGAATCAACAATAATATTCATTTAAACAAATAATGATTTGACTTAATTTACATTTTTATGTAGTGGAGTTTAGAATATTGGATACATTTTAAGAAATGTGACTCTAAAGACCGTTCTTACATTGTCATCAATTTCCTTGTTATTTGCATTTTTATTTATTGAATGTGTATTCTCTCCACCATTTTTATTTTAAACAGTGGCATTGGATTTCCAGAAAATAGATTTAACGAAATTATGGAAATTAAAGAATTTTTATATTTGTTAACTTATATTTACTATAAAATTTAAAATTTAATAATTATTATGGAGAGTGTCGATGTTTACTGTCGTGTGTTTAATTTGAGTAAGATGTTTAGATTAATAGGTTGCTCTTGCTAACACTAACAATAATAAATCAACAAATTTGGGCTGATAATAATATAAATGAACTGTATTATGATATTTCCTCACACGACGAAGTATTATGATAATGTGTTACCAGTTATTGTCGACCACTCGATCGCCAATATGACTTCATATAAATKTATAACGAAGACCGCCCCTACATCTGCTCGCCTCATTCAGGTCCCACGACTAACACGCTGATGGCTGCCCGAATGTCCGACGTYCTCTTGGTAACCGATTGGATCGCACCCACGCACGATCACTATTAACTCACTCGTCACTCCTTACGTGCACCCATGTACACGTTTTTTAATGCTCGTTGCACCCACGGAATGAAAACCACATGACACCAACGACAACTAAATCCAACTTTATAGCGATTTTAGTGTGCGGCAATGTGGCGYGTTAATATATTACGTTACTTRTACCGCGGCAACGGTGACAACAACAATGGGTCGRCACAATTTAGGTAGCACGACGACAGATTCGACAAATAAAAATTGAATACTATTAAGATATGTAAAGTACTACTGACCCGAGGTGATAGACCTTTGTTCCGGCGGCGGGAGCCGGTTCTGCATGGTATGGGAGCGGGGAGCGGGGTTCTTTTCTAGAATATTATGTTCTCTATCGGCGGACACCCATGACCAAATAACTATTGTCGCTAATAGTCGGTACCKAACAGTAGAAAATAAGAACATAAGAAAATATTTACATCAAGAAATTGGTTTGAAATCCTATCGCAAACTGAATCAATTAAAGYCGACACAACCGCATTAAACCCAATTCCCGAAATAATCATCCCCGAATCAAACTCCCAATAGGAAAAAATTAYACATCTACCTCCACTTATAGTGATCAAAGGAATTTTAGACTTTGTAAGTGTACGTACAGAACTCATAGACCTTATTTGATCTGAAAACTTCACTTTTAATTCAAGCMTTAACAATCTCAAAATCCGAACGAAAAACCCAAAATCCTACAGATCAGTCATTCGCTACCTCCAAGAGGATGAAGCAGAYTTCCACACATTTCAAATTCAAGAACAAAAAGCATACCGTCTAGTAATCAGAAACCTCCACCCAACAACCAACACAGCAGAAATAAGAACAGCCCTAGAGAAGAAATCGGCTATAAAGTACTCCAAATAACAAATGTCTTACATAAATCCACAAAAATAAACCTACCAATATTTTTCGTCAACCTTGAACCTTCTGAATTAAATTTTATGTTACTAAATGTAAACCATTTACTCCATACCGAGATAAAAATTGAATAACCATGACGCGACATAGACCAATGTCTTAATTGTCAGGAATGACAAAATATTATTGTTCACATATGCCAAGATGCGTTCGATGTGCCGGATATCACCCCACCTCAACTTGCTAAAAGTCTCGCAATCTTCCCGCCAAATGTGCTCTTTGCCAAGGTGAACACCCTGCCAACCACAARGAATGTCAAATTAACAAGGAACTTCAAMAACTACGCAATCACAACTCAAGAAGCAAGCAACCAATTAAATTAAAAAACCACAGCAAAAGCTCCTTCGGTGGAATCCAATCCCTCATCTTCCCTCAATAGAACATAATATGCAAATGTAACATAAAACCAAGAACCAACAAAATCTGACAGCAATCAGCCAGACACAGGTACTTTAATATCTAAATTTATCAGTGACTTCCAAGCTGTTATAAATCCACTCCTCTCGCTTCTTACAATAGTTCTAGCCAAGCTTGCAGCAGAAAATGACAAATAATACCCCAACTTCTAAATCTTTACTAGTTCTCCTTTGGAATGCCAATGGTATTCATAATCATACAGCCGATCTTTAACTTACACTACACGATAAATTCATTGACATATAGAGCACTCATATCCGAAACATACTTTACTAATCGAACAAAAATACATATTCCTGACTACACAATACTCAAATCAAACCACCCGGATAAACCACCCGGATTGCACCGCACACGAAGGGGTGGCAATAATAATCAGATCCACAATTTTCTTTTACAACGTCTCTCAACTAAGGGAACACCACATACAATCCTTCACTATAAAAAATACATTAGATCATTCCCCAACTCTATATCTGCAGTATACTGCCCCCCCCTAATAAAATAATCCCACAAATATTATTTGGGAAATTCTTCAACATCCTCGGAAACCAATTTATTGTAGAAGGTGAGCTTAATGCAACACGTACTCAATGGGGATGTCACTCAAACTCACCTAGAGGTAATTCTCTAAGACAGGTTTGCATCTCCAAAAACTACTCAATTATTTCCCCCCAAAACYACACATATTAGCCAACTTCRCCACGAAAACGACCAGATATCCTTGATATATTTGTCTCTAACATACCGAACAGATTTAACACTAGCATAGATAATCTATCACATCCCCTCACAGACCACTCACCAGTACTTCTCATCCASGATACCGCTCCATTAAAAAGACAAATAAATCCATCACTAATCAATGGAATAATAATCTGGGRAAAATTCCAATTGATACTAGCTAACGATATTAACTTAAACGTTAGCTTAAAATCCTCAAACGAACTTGAGGAATCAATTCAACATCTAGCATTATCAATACAAAAYGCAGCATGATCCTCGTGTAAACCAAAAAATCATAATAACAATCAAAATAATTTCTTACTGCCAGCCTATTTAAGATCTCTTATTGTTCGAAAACGCTGAGTTAGAACAACTTGGCAGAAAACAAAATATCCCTCCGATAAAACTAACTACAATAACTTATGTACTCTACTTAAAAGGCAAATGGCCAAACATCRCTGTGAAGATTTCACTAAACAAACCAGTCTCCTCTCTGAAAAAAACGGTTCACTGTGGAAAACAACCAGGGAAATCCTAAACACTAAAACRATATCATTCCCAATTAAAAAATCTGACGACAGTCTTGCAATAAATGATWAAAAAAAAGCAGAAACACACGGACAACACCTTTCCGAAGTCTTAAGCCCTAATAATTTCACCATTCCTTCTATGGAAAACAAAAAATATGGTTTTCTAGACAGCCATTTTTAGAGTTAAATGTATCTAAAYATAGAATATTCTTTTAAAGAAAAATTGCTCGGGTATATTTTACTGTCATCATCTTTAAAAAAAAAAAATATTGTAAATAAAAGAATAACTACTGATTAGTTAAGTACATCTAAAGTCTTGAAAAATTTATACCAGTTATAATATTTGTAATTTATTATTCACGAAATCATTAGCATTTTGAAA